TATGTTGTAGCATGTATCAGAACTTCATTTCTCTTTATAGGTGAATAATACTGCATTGTATGTATATACCACATTTTGTTTCAAAGTGTTTTTTTGCGGTCCTAGTAATTGTGCATGACCAAAGGATAATGGCTGAGATTGCCTGTGCACACTTCCTCTGGAGACACACGTCATATGTATTTTACTAAGATTCAGCAAAATTGGCATTTGTCAAATCTCTTCAGACCTACATCACTTAGAACTTTTAGTCATGGCTACCTGAGGTCTTGCAAAATACAATTATATTATCTAAATACACAAGCTACAGATACTTTATATTGCCTGTCACTTTATCCATCAATGTTTGGAAGGTAACAGGAGACTTGAGATCTGTGTTGAAATCTGAGGCCCTTGTAGGCATCCTTTCTGGTGAATAGAATCCCACAGAGCAGATGAAAGTCGTCTTTGCACTCCTTCACCATGAGGCTCTGATGATAAAAGAGCTATACCTCAATCTATACTTTTTGGAAACTCATTGAACAGTATATTATGTATGTATTTTAGAACAGTGATTGTAGGCAGAGGAACTGGCATATGTGAGAGCTCTCAGGTGGGAAGCAAGGCATGCTGGAGAAATTCAAGCAGGCTACTCTGGCTGGAGTACAGCTGGAGAGAGGAAATTTGGTGTGAGATAAAGCAGGGGAGGTAGGCAGTGGGTAGATTATTGGGGCTTTACAGGTCATGTTAAAGAATTTAGATTTTATCTAAGGAGCAGTGGGAAGCCACTGAAGAATATTAAGCAGGGGAATGATGCTATCATATTACCCTACCTGTATTACAGAGAACTGATTAATGGGGAAGAAGAATGGCTCAGAGCCAATTAAGAAACTTTACAAGAGTATAGGTTGAAATATGATAGTGACTTGTACTAAGTAGTAGTAATTCTAGACTATTTAGGAGGTATAATCTACAGAACTTGGTGACTGCATGTAGAACATAAGTGAGGGGGAGAAAATAATGATGACAGACTAGGTTACTGATTTTACAACTGGTAGCACCGTTCACAGAGTTAGAACACTAGAGGGGAGCTCAGATTTAATTGGGATATTACATGTTGAGTTTTGAAGTGCTTGTGAGACATCCAAGTGAAGATTCAAGTAGGCAGTTGGATTAAAATGGTCTGGAGCTCAGAGGAGAGGCTTCCATCCGATGGTGGTCCTTTTGTTTACAGCTCACATCATATTCATGAAGAAAGACTTCACTACTCTCCTTGAGCTTCTTCCTCAACTTCTCCTTATCAATAACTTGTGTCTCCATTATAAAAGCTTTTGATTGTATTTGAGGACCCTGGAGGGACACACTAGGGTAGAAAACTTATGGGTTAGGATATCCTTTCATTCTTTTCTGACTCTTTCTCCAAGTTTCTGAATACAGAATATATAGATATTCTCCCCTGAAATGTAGCCATCATATTTAGAAAACATTTTTTAAAAATCTGGATTTGGTACCTATCCAACCAGCTTCCCCTTGTATACCCCCTAGATTCAGCACACGCTATCTTTGTAAACCTATTCCCTGACTCCTACCATTTATAGAGAAAACTTTCACCTCATTCCACATACACAAACTAAAACCGAACCCGTTGGTGCTGAGTCGATTCTGACTCATAGCGACCCTATAGGACAGAGTAGAACTGCCCAGTAGGGTTTCCCAGGAGCGGCTGGTGGATTCGAACTGCTGAACTTTTGGTTTGCAGCTGTAGCTCTTAACCACTGCACCAGCAGGGCTCCTTAAATACATAAGTGAGCGTTAAATTTCAGAACTCAGATTATATAATCCCAATCCTTTAGTTCGTATAAGGTTTACATGTTGGTAGTAGTTTGTCTTAAATATTTTGGTGGCCTGTAACTTGTTTCCATCTCTGCTGCACTCCTCAAGTTCCTTAGTTTTTTCTATCTTCCAGGCCACTTCCACCCTAGGTCTAGCTAGTTCTCATCCTTGTTAGGGCCAGGACAATGGAATCCCTAGTCCTTTTCATAATTTATTTCTCAGGCCACGCAATGGATTCACACTCTTTTAGAGTACTGTCTGTCTTAGGCTGGGTTCTCTAGAGAAGCAAAAGCGGTAAAGCATATAAATATATGTATATATATAAAGAGAGAGAGAGAGATTTATATCAAGGAAATGGCTTACGCGGTTGTAGAGGTTGTAACGTTCCAAGTCCTTGGGTTAGGAAAGAGGCTTCTCCTGATTCACATAGCTGCAGGGGCTGCCAAACCCAGGATCGGCAGGCTGGAGAGCAGGGCTGTTGCTCACAGGCTGTGAAGATTGGTGAATTCCAAGGTCGGCAGGCAAGACCACAGGTAAGCTGCTAGCTCAAGGCCCAGGAACTGGAGATCGGATAAACAGGAGCCAGCTGCAGGATCCAGAATGAGCAAAACCCCCGAGCCCTGCCTGAACGTCTGCCCACACTCGATGCAGACCACATGCCCAAGGAAACTCCCCTTCAGCTAATTGGCTACTCAGAGCAGATCCCATCATGGGGGTGATCACGTATCACATCCCAGCAGGGAAGTGATCACAACATTATATGACTGCCAAAACACTGAGAATCATGGCCCAGCCAAGCTGACGCACAATCTTAACCATCACACTGTCTTAGTTATCTAGTGCTGCTATAAGAAATACCGCCAGTGAATGGCTTTAACAAAGAGAAATTTATTCTCTCGCAGTTTAGTAGCTAGAAGTCCAAATTCAGGGTGCCAGCTCCAGGGGAAGGCTTTCTGTCTGTCAGCTCTGGGGGAAGTCCTTGTCATCAGTCTTCCTTTGGTCTAGGAGCTTCTATGCGCAGGAACCTTGGGTCTGAAGGACGTGCTCTGCTCCCAACGCTGCTTTTCTTGGTGGTATGAGTTCCCCCTGTCTCTATGCTCACTTCTCTTTTACATCTCAAAAGAGATTGGTTTAAGACACAGTCTAATCTTGTAGATTGAGTCCTGCCTCATTAACATAACTGCCACTAATCCCATCTCATTAACACCATAGAGATTGGATTTATTACACATAGGGAAATCACATCAGATGACAAAATGGTGGACAATCTCAAAATACTGGGAATTATGGCCTAGCCAAATACACATATTTTTGGGGGACACAATTCAATCCATAACAAATACAAAATATGAGCTCTTGGTTACTGTGTTATGCATTTGCTCATCCTGTCACAACAATAACAGACTAAAGGGCAAGTGGCCTCAGAACTTTTGGAGCCCTTGTCTTAACAGCCTGCCCTTGGGGAGCTTTCAGGTTACCACCCCTTTTTTTCCTTTAAGCTTGGAAAAACTTAGGGTGGAGGCAGCACTTTGTCTGTATTAGCTACCAAGGTCTCCTCAGTTGCTTTGAGCTTCTGATTCTTGCTGATACGGATGGTTGCTTCTTCTGCAGCTGTCTTTATTAATGCATTTGGTAACGTTAAAATTATAGGTGACATTTAGTCCTGGAGCTCCAAAACCTTGTACAGCTGGTTTGTTTACTCTCACAGCATCTCACTGGTGTTTCCGGCCAAGGTTTAGAAGCTCTACCCACTTGAAGGTTGAGTAGCTCTCCCTGAGCACAATCTGAGCTTTCAGTTTTTTTTAGCTTTGTCAGTATGTACATGTGTCCAGTAGTCACATGTGGCTATTTAAATTGAAATTAATTTAAATTAAATAAAACAAAATATATTAGTTCCTCAGTTGTGCTAGCCACATTTCAGGAGTGCAGTAGCTTCATGTGGCTTGTTATTGTTAGGTGCTGTCAAGTTGATTCCGACTCGTAGTGACCCTATGTATAACAGAACAAAACACTGCCCAGTCCTGCACTGTTCTCAAAATCATTACTATGTTTGAGCCCATTATTGGAGCCACTGTGTCATTCCATCTTGTTGAGGGACTTCTTCTCTTTTGCTAATCATCAACTTTACCAAGTATGATGTCCTTCTCCAGAGACTCATCCCTCCTAGTAACATGTCTAAAGCACGTAAGATGAAGTCTCACCATCCTCACTTCTAAGAAGCATTTTTGCTTTACTTTCTTCCAAGACAGATTTGTTCATTCTTCTGGAAGTCCATGGTATATGCTATATTCCTTGCCAGCATCATAATTCAAATGCATCAATTCTTCCATCTTCCTATTCATTGTCCAGCTTTTGCATTTATATGAGGCAATTGAAAATACCATGGCTTAGGTCAGGCGCACCTTAGTCCTCAGACCATATTGGACAGCACAGATATAGAACATTTACATCATCTCAGAAAATTCTTTTGGACAGCACTGAAATACAGGATATGAGAAAATTAAATAGCCAATTGTTTATTGAAAATAGGAAGCATTATCAAAGCCTAGGGTATTTGCTACTAAAATTACCTTTTTTTATTATGGTTCTACAACATTTGTAAGTATTGCAGTGAATTTGTAATTCTGCCTGCAAATTTATCACCTTGTTTCTTATTTATAAAATAAGAAAGCCTGAAACAGCCTCAGGGATGATGATAATTTTAAAATGTTGATGAATTTCAATGTCTCTTTACTCTTATTTCTCATATCCTGATGGTGTATTAGAAGTTCCCATTTGTTTTTGCAGCTGTTTCTTGGTGGAGCACCTCTAGGATAAACAGCTAACTCTTGATGTCATGACATAGCATGACAATTTAAGGATTTGCCTCTATTCCTTTGCCATGGCTCTAAGACCTAAGATAATACTATTAACATGAAATAATATTGATTATTTTTGGTGTGAAAGGCATGACAGTGATTAAGTTGTATATTAGGAATAAGAAGTAAATTAAAAAATACAGATACATATCCCATCTTTTGTAATTATGGATTCTTGGAAATTTTGAACAGTGAGAAGCTTTACAGTTGATATTATTTATCATGCTGCATACTGCTCAATAAAGGGTTTGTTTAACAAATGATTGTTATGAGGGTTATAATTCTCATTAATCAAAATATCATGATGTTTTGATTTTTTTGTTTTAACCTTAGGAAGCTCTGCAAAGGATTATTTCAACTCTGGCAAATAAAAATGATGAAATTCAGAACTTTATTGATACACTGAATCATACATTAAAAGGAGTTCAGGTATGAATTCTTCGTTAAAGAATTTGTGTGTAAATATGTCACAGTGAATGATTGTTGGGTCTAATCAGAAGTATAAATATACTCCATTAACTCTAAATTATAAACTAATGGAGGTGAGAGCAGGGTTTTTAAATGGCAAATAAGGTAAAAATGTTTTAGTTGCTATCATTGCAAGATACTATTTGGAAAGATCAAATAAAGGAAAAAGGAAGACTCTGGAATAGTACTTATTAGGAAATATTCTAGTGTTCACTTTTGTTACACATTTGATATTTGTTTTTTGTAATTCCAATTAAGAGCAATTTTTGTCTTTTCTAAAGTACTGGAAAGTAAAACATTGCTTTTACAATAAATAGTAGAAGGAAAACGTAGATGTGAAGAGGCCTAATTTTAGTAGTAGATGAAAGTGAAACATAAAAGTAAAACGTAAAGTGGCCAATGAGGAAGGAGAGGAATATTTAAGGAAATGGTCCTAGGATTGGGCAGAGAATCTATCCTATAGGTAGTCAGATGTCGATTGTGACACGGACCTCAAGATAATCTAGTGATGCTTTCTCATAAATGTGCCTTGGTGAACTTAAGGGTTATTTCCTTCGTGAAATAAGTATACTAGATTTGTAGGACACTTGCGGACAGTGAATCCTTAATAGGAAATATGTTTTTTGTTTGTTTAAACCTAGTAATTGCCTGGTTCTTGGCCTGTTAAAACTTATGGTCTTCATAGTTCCTTTAATCAGAAGTATAAATATACTATAAATGAAGTTAGTTGATTATGATCTTCACCATCTTAACTGTTGAACTGTTTCATTGGAAAATTTGGTGAATCCACCTTCTTTAAATTAGCAGAGGCAGTGGTTCTAAAACTCTTGATCTGTTGACAAGAGAATCATTGCATTTGACATCTGGAAAAAGAGACCTTAAGATAGAATCTACCTAAGCTGTTTTTCTGATTGATAGATTATTAGAACTCTAGCTTAAACTTCAAAAACAAGTAGAGGGAAATTAAGGTACACTCTTATCACTGAAGCAGAGCCTTGGTGGTGCAGTGGTTAAGCGTTTGCTTACCTAAAGGTCAGCAGTTCGAATCCACCAGCTGCTCCTTGGAAGCTCTATGGGGCAGTTTTACTCTGTCCTGTAGGGTCACTATGAGTTGAAATCAACTTGATGGCAGTGAAGTTTCTTGTCACTGAAGATGGAGGAATGAGAGGTAGTAGGCAAGAAACAGTTAAGAATGTGCTGCCAACTGGTGATTGAGAAGAAAGAATAATCTAGTTGTTTTTTATAAATGAAGAAACTAAGGTCCAGGAATTTAAGTGGCTTGTCCAAGATCACATTGTTACCGAGTGGTTAATGTGGAATTTGACCTTAGATTTCTGCCTTCTAGACTGCATATTACATTTTTCCACAGTTCGTTCTTACCACTGTAAATAAGCTAATAAAATGATTGACACTGCTTTTGGTGAGACTCTAGTGATATGATGTCTAGTTTTTACAAATATTATAAGCAAAAGTTTGGACAAGTGGTATTACATTAGATTGTACGTATTAGTTCTCTTAATCCATGCCAATTTGCTTCTGTTAATTTAATGATTCAACTACATTGAAAAATGCCTTAAGAGGATTTCTTCCAACTCATAGTTATTGCAGAAGTGGATATTGCTTATCTAGGGATTTCACAAATATTTTAAGTTGTTTCTTGTTGAAATAGCAGCATCCTGCTTAGCGAGGCAGTGAGGAACTCTGGAAAGTCAAGAGGCATAAAATACCTTATTGACTTTGGCGCTATTCACTAGTTGTGTGATGTTGTGTGACTCTGGGCAAGTCAACTTATCTGTATTTTGGTTTATAAAATTTGATGAGAAATTCTAGTCATTAGATGATTTCTGAGGTTTCTTTAAGCACTAAAATTCTATGTTTGCTAAATCTCTTAGAATCCAGTAAGGAGTTGCTAAGTCTTTTAAGTTATGTATATTTTATGTAAATGAAGTGTTTTAGAGAAGGTCGAAGATCTTAAAAGTTACACGAAATCACACCCATTCCATATGCCCAAACTGTTCCCCAGAGTTACTGAATCAAAATCTCTGGAATATTTTATTTAAAAGCTTTACTGATGACTCTGATGCCCAATAACTGATGTCTGCATTAGAGCTTGAAGGTCTAGGCAAAGGTGGCAACCTTCAAACAACCTTTCACATTTCCTATGAAAACAGCATTATGAAACTGACGATGATATGGACTAGTCCGTAAAAGGCTGTGTAACTCAATAGCATAGCTGAAATAGTACTGTCAGCATTAGCAGCCAGCTTCTTGCATTTATCTATTTTTAAAGTGAAATATTAGAATTTTGTTGTTCTTAGATTATTAGGCTAAGGTAGTGTATTAGTTTCCTAGGGCTGCTATAACAAAGTAGCACAATCTGGTGGCTTAAAACAATAGAAATTTATTCTCTCTTAGTTCTGGAAACTAGAAGTCCGAATTCAAGGTGTCAGCAGGGCTGTTCTCTCCATGAAACCTCTTGAAGATACTACCTTTCTTTTCTAGCTTCTGGTAGCCTCAGGCATTCCTTGGTTTGCGGCAGCATAACTCGAATCTCTACCTCCATCTTTACATGGCCATCTTCCCTCTGTGTCTGTCTGCCTTTACATGGGCCTTCTCTTTTCTGTGTACCTATGTGATTTCTCTTTTTATAAGGATACCAGTCACACATGATTAGGGCCCACCCTACTCCAGTATGATCTCATGTTAACTATTTAAATCTGCAAAGACTGTATTTCCAAAATAAGTCACTTTCACTGATACTGAGGGTTAGAACTTGAACATATCTTTTTGAGGGACACAAGTCAACCCATAACAGGTAGTTCATAATGCAAATCTGTTCTCTCTTGATAAATGTATCTTTTGGTTTTTTTTTTTTTGATATTTGAAAGCTCTCCGGTAAAATCATTGTTTTGTTCTGTTTGTTTTTAAACAGGAAAATTCTTCTAACATACTTTCAGAGTTAGATGAAGAATTTGATAGTTTGTACTCTATATTGGATGAGATGAAAGAAAGTATGATTAGCAGTATCAAACAGGAACAAGCTCATAAATCACAAGAGTTACAGGTGAGATCATATAGCTATTTAAATATGCATAATTTTTGTATATTTAACATTTGTTTTATTGAAAGTAAAATTGGTGAATTTCTGTATATAAGTATACCTTTATCTTGTAGAGGAGTAGTGCTTAACTTTGTTTTGGTCATAGATATCTTTGGGAATCTGAAACCTATGGAAGACTACAAATGTTCTCTCTCTGTTATACACATCCTGTGTACACACAATTTCCAAGAGTTAAATACTCTCTCAAGCCTGTCTTTACGTCCCAGGTTAAAGTTTCTTGTTTATGTTTAAGGGGAGGGGATGGTCAATATCATTTAAGTCATTCAAATGTAATTAGTTTGATCATAAAGTATCCATAAATTTCAATAATTATAGTAAATAAAAAATGTATTCATTTAAAAAAAACAAACAAGATTGGAGAAGAAAGGAAAACTCAACATCTTCTGAAGACCTAATGCATGAACTCATCCTGTGCTGATTTCTGTTCTGTGTTGGACCCAGGTCCTTTTTCACAGTATCGATTTGGAATACCCTTTATGCTTTCAGTTCTTAGTCTCCAACCTCCCCTGTACTCTCCCCATACTTTCTCTCTACTAGAGCAACTCTGATGTCCTCATCTACCACCAGCCAACATTTCTATCAACCTAGCTCATATGATGTATTTCAATTCTGTCGTCAAAGTGACATGAGTCAAATCTTTTCTCCTACCTTTTCCTCTTCCCATTGAGTGACAGAAAACTCATGCATATTGAAGGTGCATTGTCTTATTATCAGTTTTTGTCAGCCACCTTTAGTCATCCTTGGTGTAAGGGATGTTCCAGTACTGCTGATACTACTTTCCTTTTCTCTTAACTCTAAGCTCCAAATACCTGGCTGGTATCTGTTGTTTTATTTCTTATATTACCTTGTCACTGAGATGAAGTAACTTGGATGAAGGATATTGGATCTTCTTTCCTCTTAGCTGTATATGCACAGTTTGTTTTTCTGGCATTGTTAGTAGGGGATGAAGAAGCAGCCAATATGCACATTTAAAACTTGCAATTGGGTAGGTGAAGCTAAACTATTGTCAATACCCATCTTGAGAGCAGAAATTGTCGATTAGGGTTTAGAAAAATACTCCCTAGTTGTCACATATTAATTTATGTGTCTTCTTATATTGCCAGCTTTTAGTTAATGGCAGTTGACTACTTCCTTTCCCTTTGATCCTTTTCTCTCCTCTCTCCTTTCTTCCCTCTCCTAAAAGTTTAAATATGTTGGATAACAAAGCTCTTACAATAATGACTTTAAAAAAGCATTGTTAGAAGTTAAACTTGTAATTACCCTATTATATTGGATTTTGAAAAATTGTTTTACATTCACCATTATGTCTAGTTATGCTTGCCTAGTTTTGAAGATAGTTTAGAGTTGTGTGGTATTTGGAAAGCTTTAAAGAAATTCTACATCTTAGTATCTAAAATTCATATTTGAGAACCTAGATTAGAGAGTCTCTTACTAGCACAATTTATGGGGGTAAGTTAACGATAATATTTGATTGCCAGTAACTACGTTTCAAGCATTCATTCCATAAAATTTGAATGACTGCTATGCTAGATTTTGGGTATGTAGTAGTGAACAAAATAGTTCTTGCCCTCTTGGATCTCACATTCTAACAGGTTAATTTGGAAGAAATGCAAAAGAAAGGGAACTCAGATCCTTTTGTCAAAGCGTTTAGAATGTATGAGGGAAAGGCAGAATAAGCAAAAAATGTTTGTAATATATAACTGATTTAAGAATAATGTTATATAAGCAACATATGGATGTTCATAATGCAGAGAGGTCATAATGTCATTTAAGAAACAGTTCCTTAGAAGCTGGCTTGAAGAGCTTTGAGGGGGAAAAGGCTTACTTGATAAAGGGATGAGAGGCTGTTTCAGGTAAGAGCTGGTTCAGTTGTTAAGATAATCAAAGAGCAAAGTGCATAAGAGTCTTAGAATCATGTTGAAGCAAAGTCAGTGCTAATTTGGAGGAGAGCGCTAATGTCATTCTTCGCATGTCATCTGGGTTTTGATCTTTGAACTGTAGCTTAGCTTCAGTCCTGATCTTAAGGAGAAAAAAAAAAGTAGATTTGGATATGGAGTAAATAGATGTTAATAAAGATTATGAAGAAGAATCTTGGATAAATTTAAAAGTTTAGAAATAGGTTTATTTCTTCTTTAAAAGTGCCACTAACAATTTTCTAAGATGACTGGGCTTAGTTTTAGACATACAAACGATAGAGTGAGAAAGAGGGAGAACTGAGTAAGGAAGATTATATTTGGTGAAATTAATATGTGAGCAATGAAGACAGAGCATATCACTATAACGGTTGCCATCTTTTATTCCTCCTCTTTTGAAATCTAGGTACTTGCATTTGTGGTTGTTGTATTATTCAGTCTTGCAAACTATAAATTTACATTTATAGTAGTATGTATTACTTGAGTAATGGATAAATGCAGTACTAAAATTCTGCTCAACTCAATGGATCTATAATTAGAGTCACATACTTAAGCTTAAATAGTGACGTATCAAAAAATTTAGTCATCATTACAGAGGATGTTGTCTGCAGATGAATTTTGATATTTTAAATCATAGATAATTTTCAGACTACCCTGATTGAAAAAAATCTTTAAGTATATTTAGCCCTAGCTATTCAAATTGCTTTATTTTCTTTTTTGTGTTTTAAATGATGAGCATATCTTTACGTAGATGCAGTTAATCTATTTTGGATAAATTATGGAAAGATGCTAAGTACAACGTAGTAAAATAATTAAAATTTGTTATATATATGTGGCTCATCATGATTACATTGCTTCAGTAGCTCTCTAAAATATTTTTAGCTCAATTATTGCTATTAAATTTGTAAGTTCATTCTAACATAAAAGCTTCCACTGGTTATAGGAAACTTTTTTTTAGTGGTTTAATTAATTGTTTTCCAGAGTCAGCTTAGTCAATGTAATAATGCCCTGGAGAACTCTGAAGAACTACTAGAATTTGCGACACGGTCACTAGATATAAAGGAACCTGAAGAATTTTCAAAGGTACAAAAAACAAACTGAAAAAACCAATCTACTTTAAAGGGAACATACTGTAAAAAGATCTATGGTTTTTCCCCTTTAATTTTGATGTGTTCATTCATTTCTAATACTAAAAAAGACCTGAGATTTCTTGATAAGTAAAATACTAGATATTTATTTATTCTAAAATAGATTCTTAGGAGTGTATTTATTTGGGGTCATGAACAAATTAGTTATTTCAGTTTAATTTTTGCCTTAATACTCGATTCAGATGAGTTAAGCTATTTTCTTTTTCAGTAACTTTCCTGTTGGTAATTTGTTTTAGTGGTACTTGTGTACTTGAGCTGAGTCATACTTTATTATATAGGTGTTTCATGAAGAAAAAGAGAAGATTGATATTGCTGTTAGCATATTTAAAATCTGGTTTTGTATTTCTTTCTGTGAGCCAGTTGGGAAAATATCACTTGATACATACGAGCATTGTACCTTTATGAAATTTGTTATTGGGGACAAATGTCTCACCACCTAACTTAAGTAATCGTTTGACTGCTTTATTAAAAGATATAAACGTAGCTCCTTGTTTAAAGGTTATGCTTGATATAAAAATATAAGAATATAACAAGAAGCCTGCTAATGTTTTAACTGACATCCGGGGTTTAAGAGATTCTGAATTCTAGATTCTAATTCTTATTTTAAGTAGAATCATTTTTAAATGATTACCAGTTTAGTAAATCAAAATTCAGGGAATGTAGAATATATTTTAAAATGGTATGAAATGAGTAGGAAATTAAGGTCTACAATTAGCAAAATACAGACTGTGTAGTTGTTATATCAAGACATCCCATCTTTGAGTTTGATGTTATTTACTTGGCCTTTGTGCACTGTGTAGTGAGCTGTATTAGTGTTAGAAAGTTAACTTTATAATTCCCTTGCATTTATCTAATGTTTTCATTTTATAATTTTTCTGTGAACTTGAGATAGAGAAAAACTTCCTTGAGAAGGTAACGTTTGCTAGCTTACATCTCCACATTTTGAAATTGAACTTCAAAAATTGATTCCTTCTTTTAGCAAAATGAGTCAAAGCAAAAAGTTCTTTGGCTATAAACCAGTAAACTAATTCTTAAATTTAGAGGTGGGTTGTGAGGAAGTTTACCTTTGTCCTTGGTAGGATTTATTATATAAAGGAATAATGAGGGAAATGTATCATACTTTAAAGTATTTAAAAGGTGTCTGAGTGGTCAGAATCAGTATCATAGAGTTCATGGACAGGAGTTAATATCCTCCGTTCATGATGTTTCTCATAATCTGTTGACTCTTGATTTGAACATAAAATCCACCAAAACCAAACCCATTGCTGTTAAGTGCTCATAGTGACCCTGTAGGGTTTCCAAGACTGTAAATCTCAACGGAAGCAGACTGCCACATCTTTCTGGCAGAGCTGCTGGTTCTTTCTAACTGCTGACCTTCCGGTTAGCAGTCGATTGCTTTAACTGTTGCACCACTAGGGCTCCACTAGGGCTCCAAATCTGTAGATAGTACTACTAAATTTTTTTTTTCTGTTCCCTAGTTGTCAACAGATTCCCCCTCTAGTGGAGTAGGCCAGCTGTTAGTGGCGGGTGTAATCATAGCAGTAAGAATTAACAGCTGCCAGCCTGAGAGAGTGAGGAAGAAGACAGGAAAACTATAAAATGTGAACACAAGTACTGAAAAATGATGTGAATCCAGTTGCATTTATATAGGGTCTGATGCTAGGAAAAACTATGATAAAAGTTTGACCCAAGTTTCTCTTCCCATTGACATTTTCAAAGTCCTTTTCCTTCTCTTTCTCCTATATGCTGTCCTCCTCACCATCTCCTTTATTCTTTCCAGTTTTGTTTCTGTTAAAACTTGTTCCCAGCTGATTGTAAATTGGAAAGGTTCTGTTAAATAAGTTACACTGTGGTTTAAGTGTGTTTTCTTAATGTGCCACTTTGCTTCATCCATCTTACTATTTTGGTCTTCTGTCACTTTACGGTACTGCTTAGTAGCTTAAACAATTTGGAGATGTGGTGAAATGAATTATTTTTCCATGTTTCCAGCCAGAAATAACAGTTTATCTTCAAGAAGAATGCTTAACTGAGAGCTGCTTGTAATTCTTTTCTTTTTTTTTTTTATTTTATTGTATCGTGAAAGTTTACAATTCAAGTTAGTCTCTCATGCAAAAATTTATACATACATTGTTATTTGACCCTAATTGCTCTCCCTATACTGTGACGGCACACTCCTCCTTTCCACCCGTGATTTCCCGTGTCCATTCAAACAGCTCCTGACCCTCTCTGCCTTCCCATCTCACCTCCGGACAGGAACTGCCCAGTTAGTCTCATGCACCTACTTGAGCTAAGAAGCACGCTCTTTACAAGTATCATTTTATGTTCCCTAATCCATTCTAGTCTTTGAAGAGTTGGCCTCGGAAATTGTTTTAGTTCTGGGTTGACAGAGAGTCCGGAGGCCATGCTTTCTGGGGCTTCTTCAGTCTCAGTCAGACCATTAAGTCTGGTCTTTTTACTAGAATTTGACTTCTGCACCCTACTTTTCTCCTGCTCCATCAGGGACTCTGTACTTGCAATTATTTTCTTAGTTTATCCAATACTATCCAGATAATGATTTGATTCCAAGTCAGAAACTAAGTTCACTTGCCACGGTCAGCTGCATGGACTTGCCTCAAACACCAAGTTGCTGACAAAATAGGGAGCAATGACTTTGAAGATTTCTTATTTAACTAGCGGTATATTGTTAGATATCTGGAAAAAGAAATTCTTTTAAGGTTTACTATTTGTGAATATCTCATATAAAAAGTGCTTAAATCAGATTAATATGAATAGCTCGCAGGACAAAAATCCTAAAATCCTAGCTGTGAGTCTTTTCAGGCTTCATTATCTTCAAAAAGAATATTTTAAGTATTAATATTCAGATTATCTTGTACCAGTATCTCAGCATGAGAACTGAATGTGAAGCTGTACCATTTATCAGCATTATACAGTCTGAAGTGAACAAGTAAAAATAGTACAAATGGAAATAGATTGTAGAACATACTTTCAATAATTAAAAAAAAACTGTTAGACAATTTCTACACAAGACAGATTAGGACCGTAGTCTCGTGGGACATCTCAGTCAGTTGGCATAGTATAGTTTATAAAGTTTATGTTCTACATCCTAGTTTGATGTATAGTGTCTTGGGTCTTAAAAGCTTGTTAGCAGCCATCTAAGATACAACTATTGGACTCATCTGGAGCACAAGAGAAAGAAGGAAACCAAATACTCAAGAAACTAGTCTACAGGACTAATAGTCTTCATGAACCACGGCCTCATCTACCCTGAGACCAGAAGAACTAGGTGGTGCCCGGCTACCACCAACAACTGTTCTAATCAGGGCCACAATAGATGGATCCTGATAGAATGGGAGAAAATTGTGGAACAGAACCTCAAATTCCTAACAAAAAAAAGAAGAAAGCAAAACAAAACAAAAAACCCAGACCTACTGGACTGGCTGAGACTGTAACCACCAGCTTTTTGTTTAGCACCTGAGTCCATCAACCATTTCTACCAGCTACACCCAGGGACTTCATATGGAGTAGTACTTGGCCCATAATATTGTTAACTGTTATTATTTTTGTTTTATAGATGAGGAAACTGAGGCTGAAAGAAGTAGGATAGCTTTGCCAAGAAGGGAGTTCACATGTTTAGGAGGGGAGACATTAAAAAAAAACTGTTAGAAAGTTGGTTAATGGTAAATATATGCAGAAAGATTACTAGCAAATGGAATCTGGATCATTAGCTTTATTACTGGATGGACTAGCAGCCAAAACACCCAACCTGGGTTTTCTGATAATAGCTGGCCTGCAGAATACTGCTTAGTCCTTTGTCAAAATTAATATTCCTATTTCTACCCTCAGTTTAGACCTTGAGTTCTATCTATGAAAAGAGCTGATTTTGTGGAACAATTTCTAATTCAACTTAACTAACCAGTCACCTCATCACAATCTTTCCTTGTATCACTTAGTTGCCAGACTGAAAGGTAGAATGATAGCCTGCCCACAGGTGCCTACAGAGGAATAAAAAGCACAGAGTAAGGTAAAAGGGGAATAATGTCATCTCCATTTGATAACAGATGAAAAAAAGGAAGAATAGGTTTAGTGTATTTCCCACTTCTGACCCACAGTAACTCACCATTGGAATATTTATTGTTCATTGAGTGTCAGGCTCTGACCACTGGGAGGAGTAAGGAGACTGGTGGGTGGAAGCTCACTCAGTACTTTCAAGGGAGCAGAGGTATCACTTGAAAGTATCCCTGGAGTAGGTCAGCTGTTAGTGGCAGATGGTCCTTCTGTGGGCTAACATCGGGAATGCTGGGAGAGGAGGAGAAGACCCTTTAATAAAAGCATGAATGTTTCAGTTATGGAGGCAATTTAAAAACAAATCTAAGTATTTAGTAAGCATTGCTCAGACCATGATTTCAATTTTATTTCGTTTGTGAGTATTTATGTCTTGCAAAAATGTAGTCTCCTGCTATACAAATATGCTTGGTCATCAAGCAAATGCATTCAGTACTGTATTTCAAAGTTTCAAGTTCTTTACTATGGCTTTGCATGGGTGGAAACCCTGGTGGCATAGTGGTTAAAAGCTACGGCTGCTAACTGAAGGGTCGGCAGTTGGAATCCATCAGGCGCTCCTAGAAACTCTATGGGGCATTTCTACTCTGTCCTTTAGGGTCGCTATGAGTCGGAATCAACTCAATGGCAGTGGGTTTTGTTTTGTTTTGTTTTTTGCATGGATTGGAATTGACTTGACGACAGTGGGTTTGATTTGGTTTTTTGGTTTGCAGCAAGGATTTTAAATGATCATGTTTTTTGAAAAATAGTTCTTTTTATAAACAGATAAATATGTGTAGAAAACATAAAACTTTCAATGTATGGAATCAACTACTGTGCACTTTTTTGTTGTGTATTTTCTTTTCGAAGGCTAATATTTTTGCCTGAAGGAAAGTA